GCAGGAGAAGGAGGACCAGCACAGCCCACAATCCATAAGGATCGTGGGACACACGCTGGAGACCCTCTTACAGAAGCTGAGTCACAACCTTTAGACCACTGGCCACCTGGCACCTCTCACCAACCAGAATCCAGGCGATAGAGGGATGTCCCAGTCACTGGATAGGGAACAAAGGAAAGGGCTGCAGAGGCCCCCAGTGTCAGCTCACACCAGGGCCCCCGGCTCTCCGTGTTCTCTCCTCACTCCTGCTGCGACCCTCCCCAGTTCAGTAAAACACCAACAGCCCAGAAGTCCTCTCCCATCCACACCTACCCCCTACCCTAACTAGATTCCACTTATTCCACCTTTTATCATTCTGGGTTTTTTTTTTTTCCCTGAAGAGTACTGATCACAATTTGTTAAGTATTTATTTAAGGATCAACAGAAACACTTTTTCAAATTCAATTTTTAGTATAATTGTACCTAATCTAATTTATTTCTTTGAAGACTGCATATTCCCCTGGATTATAAATTTGATAAATACCCACCAAAAGCAGATTCTTACCAAATAAATCATTGTTGGATACTGTGCTCTTTCAGGAAGGATAGCTTTTAAAATCTTCATCATAGAGTTGTGGCTCAGTAATAGCGTGCTTGCCTAGCATGTGTGATTCATTGGGTTCAATCCTCAGCACCACATAAAACTAAATAAATAAAATAAAGGTATTATGTACATCTACAACTAATTTTTTTTCTAAAAATCTTCATTATAACACTCTGAACTACGTTTTATAGATGAAACCAAGGAGATTCATTTTCGTACCCTGGAATTGTGCAGTGCACACCCTGCTCAGAAGCTCCTGGTTCTAAACCACTTAAGAATGGAATTGTCTCCAAAGGGAGAGTATCTCTCTGTTCTCTTCCCACTTTTGATGACCACGGCTAGAGGGATTAATAATGAGCAGAAAGTCCAATTAGCCTCGCCCATCACATCAGTCCTGGAGCGAAATCTTGCTTCCTTTAGAACCCTCAGAAAAGACTCTTCTGTTTGTATGTCATGTTAATAATTAATTGATTGGTTAACCAATTAACTAGTTCCTGTAGGGTGTCCTGTCCTCCTTTGTACCCTCTGTGTGTCCTGATCAGGGTCAGTGGCCATGCTCACATACGTTAWTATGTTGACCTCAAAGACCCTGAATGAAGTACCCCTTGGAAATGTGAACATGAGAAAGTCTTTTTACTGAGGAAGCTGCTCGTTTTGTACCTGTGGAGAGCAGAATTTTCTGAAGTGCAGATTATAGTTGGTTGGGCACTGATGGAAAATGTACCATGGTGCCTGCCTACACCAGAGGGTGAGTCCAGGCTCTGCCTCTGAGGAGCTTCCAGAGGGTGCTGAGCAGAAAGGAGGCTCAAGAAGCAGGGAGCTGTGCAGGGGCCCTTGGGACTGCAGAGAGATAGCAGAGGCAGAAGAGCTTACAAGATCTGGCAGTGAGCTGGTGTAGTGGCGCACTCATGTAATCCCAGCGGCTCTGGAGTCTGAGGCAAGAAGATCATGAGTTCAAAGCCAGCCTCAGCAAAAGAGAGGCACTAAGCAACTCAGTGAAAACCTGTCTCTAAATAAAATACAAAATAGGCCTGGGGATGTAGCTTAGTAGTTAAGTGCCCCTGAGTTCAATCCCTGGTACAAAAAAAGTATCCACAGGGACATTTGGTACTGGAAATTTTTACCTGAGATAYGGACCAACTTATTCTGCTTGCTACTTTGGCTCCACAGCTCTCAACTCTAAATCTAATTCAACTCTGGTGCAACCAATTCCTTTGCAAGATGCAGGGTGGGGCCAGTGGTTTTCATACAGACTTTGACAGCCGAAACTTGAACAGCAGCTGAGCCAACTCACAGGCCTCCCAGCTCTCCTTTGCTCCACTTGTGCTACTTTTCAAAATCACATATGCCCAGTCTACTAAGGTGGAACTCAGGTCACCCCAAACTCAGCAAGTCTACTCCTAGGTAAATACCCAACTGAAAAGTAAAAACTCACCAAAGACATACAAGAATTAAAATAGCTCCACAAGGAACCACCCAAATGCCCAAGAGCAGCTAAATGAGTAAACTGTTTGCGGTATACWTATATCATGGAACAGCACACAGCACTAAAAAGGAACAAGTCCTATAATGGATGAGTTCTGTAAACTCTGTGTAGAGCAAAATGAGCCTGATAGAAGGAAAACACCCTGCATAATTCCATTTTAGTTTTATATTAAAAATCAGGAAAAATTAATGCATGTGTTAGAAATCAGGATAGGGCTACCCCCTTAGAAGGGAGATAACTAGAAGAGACCAATAGGGGCTGCTGGGATTCCGGGTGCTGATGACATGAGGAGCTCACTTTGTCAACATTCCTCAATATTGAAATACTATATTTATGATTTGTATACTTTTATATGATGTTACATTTCAGTACAACAGTTTTAAAGGCTACGTCTGCCTAAATTGTCTTTAAAAGCTACAGCTACCTAAATTTATCCCCATATGTTGTGGTCTGGGATGAGGTCCAGTGACCTGTAATTTTTTAAAGATTCTTGAGTGATTCTAATGTACATCTGGGTCTGGGAATCAGACTAGAATCCCTATTGGGTTTAGATTTCCCAAATTTAATCTTTTTGTTTGCATACTGAAAGAATTTACTCTTGCTTTTTTCTTCTTTTTTTTTTTTTTCTTAAGATAAGAATGAAGTAGCTCCTATAGTCCCGTGCACCAGACATTTCCACGTGCCTGGAATGAACAAAGGTTGGTCAAACATCCATTCCTAGGAGCTGTCTGTGTCGGTACTTGATTATCACAAGTATTTGTTCTTCAGAACTTCAGGAATCCAAAGAGAATTAACTTATCCAACTAGTCAACAAGCAATTATTGAACACTTTTTATAAGAAAAGCTAACAGTTGCTGACTTTTCTGAGGCACACCCTAGGCCCGGCTCACACCCATATCCTGTGGGCGTGTTCTATCCTTTAAACACAAGGAAGGACAAGTGCATGGATTCTGGAAGCAGAGTACCAATGTTGAAACTCTAGTTTTGCAACCTCGTTCTAGGACTTTGGGAAAGACTCCGTGACTCAGTTTCCTCATCTGTAATTTGGAGATAGATTCTTGAAATTGGGTTGAGGAGTAAATGATGTTTGCCACCCCCAAAGTGCTACTTACCATGACAAGTGCATTAGACATCACGAAGGTCCTCTGAGATGGCTATGGTAAAAATGCAGATTTTGCAATTGTGGAAACCAAGCTTAGGAAAGTTCTATTACTTGTCTTGGGCTGTGCTACTAATAAACAGCCCGGTCAGGATTCCAGGCCAGGTACCCTGATCCCTGCACTTGTTGACATCAGGCTCTCTGTCTTGTACTGACATATTCCACCCTTGCCCGGTGTTTGGATGACACACGGATTGAATATCTGATGAGGAGATTCCACCGAAGAGATCTTTGAAGAGCATGGAGAGCCGGAATATTTCATGCACCAACTCAGAGTGACAAGCCCAGCCCCCTGCAAGCCAGAAGGCCAGCACCACCCAACTGAGCCACATTTCTCAAGATAGAATGAAATGGGTAACTTTTTTTTTCACGGCCTGAAGTTAAAAATACCTTTTAAAAATGAGTTTGTCGGGTCTTGTTGCATAACACTGAGTGGTATTTATAGGTCGTGAAAATGAATATGAAAACTCATATTTTGATTCATGGCATCTTAGAAGTGGTGCTTTCATTAATAACTCTGACTTGAATTTTTCCTTGCAAATTATTGGAATTTTATACTAAACTTGACAATTTTTTTTTTTTCTGACTGGAGGGGAGGTATGGAGGGAAGAGGGGTAGGGCTAAGAAAGAAACACATTCCTAAAGACACTCACATGGCCACTTTCTGAAGCAATTCCATGTGTTCCTCATGTAACCTGAGAACAACGGGGGTCAGTTTGTCCCCTAATATTGAATATGGCTCATTGGACAGGTACAAGATTGCATTCATTCTTGAGTTAATTTTAAATAAAAGGTTTCATTGAAACAATACCTCTCAGTAAAAATTTAGGCACTAACAGGCAAAACTGTGGACCTCAATTTTTTATTATATAGATTCCAAAGTAAGTTTGTTGGCTGATACATTAGGAATCTCTCTCCCCACCTTAATACAAAGTGCTGCTGTGACTCTGTTGGTTTCTACGGGACGGTTGCATTTTACCAGGAAATGTAGTTTGTTTTGCCAAGTATTAAAGTGATTGATTATAATTCTTTTATTAGATACTTAGGTTTCCCTTACTTTTTTTATATATTGTTTAAAAATAAACAATTTAGGCCTTTATAGGCCTCCTGCCGCCCCAAAGCTCCTGTTTCAGCCCAGGGAAGGTTTCTTGCTGATCAGATTTCCCTCTATTCTTTTCTTTAAGCAAACACTGAAGGCTTTCAGTAGCTGCCCAAGACATCACTTTAAAAAAAAAAAAAAAAAAAAAAACCCTGAAGGCAGTCTGAAAGGCCTCCAAAAAAGCATGACATTCAATCAAAGTTCAGTAAGGAAAGTTTTAATGAATAAACTCAGTAAATTAGAAAGCACTGCGGCAGAGTGATTAACTCTCATTTGTGCATTAGTGTTGAAATTAATTAAAATGTTTAAGCCACGGGAGGCAGGCTACCTCGTCGGGACCTGGCTCTGCCCTCAGAGTCTGTCTGGATCCAGGAGTGATTCATCTTACACAGCTGAGAAGGGGATAAAAGGGAACGAACAGTTGGGACAAATGTGTTTTCAGCGGTGCTTAGCAGCGGGGAGCCCGGGGGACATGAGAGCAGGGCCCCTGGAGTGTGACAGGGCCACGCAGTGCCCCTGCCCTGGAGCTGGTGCGTGGAGAGGACTCCGCACGTGCCTTCCTGCCCTCTCCCCGGGACTGCAGGCCACGCGTAGCCACTTCTCTGCCAGATGGAAGGAAGGCTGCAGTCGGCTCCTTTCAAGATCACTCACAAATCAGCCTTTTCCAGGCTCTTTTTAAACCTGCTTGCCACCAAAAGCGTTCATGCGGTGACGTGAAACGGTGGGTTGGGTGCCCTGGTGGATTTCCCTAAGATCAACTCCATAGAATGGATGAAAATATAATTGCCTCCAACAGACTCTCAGACACACAACAATGGATTTATTGTTATATTCCCTTGACAATGTGCAGAACGGAAACCATCTTTTCGACAAACCCCCAATATTCCATTCCCGCTAGGTTTTTAAATATCTCCTTAGCTCGATTTCTTTCCGGAACTATGGGTCTGTGGATCTTCTTATAGAAACCCATTACCATGTGGCTGTTTAACAAATCCATGCCCGCTTAAAATTATAAATGACAGTCCATTTCATAAAGAGAAAAGTCCTTTCTGACAGGAAAACAATCTCAGTTGGTTCTCCTTGGATAGCAAATGGCTCTTGTCAGGTTTGGCAGTTTCTAAAATCATGTAGCCACACACTACCATTCCTATATCAGGGGTCCAAATGAAGGGGTTTGAAGAAATTAGTGGCCACCTGCAAGTCTGAATTATTTCCACTGGGAGAAAATCATCATGATCTGCTACAGTTCCATGTTCATAACTTTAAAAAAACTGTCTGTCTTCCTTATTTTTTGCTCTATAGATTTCTTGTCAGCCACAATGTCAGAGGTCACTGCCAGAGTGTCCCTTTGGTACCCATTAACTATAACCAGCAAACTTGTTCACTATTGATCCACTATGTCTAAGTATCTATTATGGTGGATATAAAAGGTGGCTTCACATCTTTCTAAACAGATAATTCATAAAGGCCAAGGGGTCATGGCTTGTGATATATTATTCTTTCACTGTATCTGTGACTGAGTGGAAAGAGAGAGAGAGGAGGAGAAGAGGGTACTAAGGGTCACAAGTGTTAGACTAGAGAGGTAGAAAGTTGTGCGTCAATTGGACACATTAACATCCATATAAATAATAAGAGGCATTAATAATATTTGTTCATGACCTCATTATCGATTCATTCTACTCTGAGGCAGAGGTTCCTAGAGTGGATGAAGACAGAGCTGATTTTTTACCACCAAAGTTCAGTTGAGGTTGAACTCTTAGATGGAAGTCAACTAAAGACAGTAAAATATATTCTGGTAGCCACATATTGGGTCCCAGGATTGATAATTTTTGCAAGTAATGCATCATGTGGGGCAAAGCAACTGTTCAAGGAAACAGAAGCCTCAGATAGGATCCCGTGTTAAGGAGCTGCCTGGGCCCGATTTGCTCAGCTCCTCCCCACATCCCCTTGGGATTGTTGGATTCGTCGTGTTGTTTAACCTCTGCTGGTTTATATTGAACATTCAGCAATACGCTGCAGAGCCCATTGCGAATGTTCCCCACGTTCCCCTCCTAAAGTACAGCATCTCATTAGAAGAACAATAAGGATCTGACGAGCGAGCCCGGCTCACAAGTGAGCTGACACTGGCCTCATTGAATGCCGTTTATGGCCTTCCACCCACTGGAGAACCGGGAGATGGTGTGCTTTCTCAAGACTACAGCTTGGAGGAAAGTAAATTGAGATGAATCATGGTGAGATGAGATAGTTAAAATGTCATGCTCCATAAGTTTGAATGCATCCTTCAAGTTCTGAACAGTAAAACGCCAACAGAACACTGAAGCAAGAGAAACAAAGAAAAAGCAGATTACTAACAATACCAATCCTCCTTCCTGGACAAGGAAGCTTCGTGTTGGGGGGAGGACCAAACAACGTCTCTCCAGAGCCAGCCTGGGTTGGTGCACCTGCAGGCACATGCCCACGTGCCCGTGTGCTCACACACACGCCTTCCCTATTTTATTTTCTCTTTACCACTGGACTTCCTTATAGCCTGAAAAGAAAAAAAAAAAAAGAACCTATTAGGTGAAGAGATGATACATGACAATCATGAGACTTCAGAGACAAACAGTAAGCCATTAATTTTAATTCTGTTTATAAATACTAGCCAGTCCCTAGAAAAATTACAAAGTGTCCCCATTGAAAGTGGGAACCAGCAATGATGTGAGGTTTTGTTGTGGTGGTTTGTTTTTTAAATATTTTTTTGAGATGTTGATGGACTTTATTTTATTCATTTATGTCTATGAAGTGCTGAGAATCAAACCCAGTGCCTCATACATGAGAAGCTAGCACTCTACCACTAAGCCACAACCCCAACCCAGCAATGATGAGTTTTGAGAATCGGGAGAGTCCCTTTTGGCTAAAGGAGAGGGGTGCAGGAAGGCTCGGGGGAGGGCCTGAGCAGCTGTGGGAGCTACAGAATTGCTCTGCTGATTTCTCTCTGCAGAACCCCACTCATTCTAATATCTACCAACTCCATAACTCTTTAAGTTAAAACATCCTAAAAGAAACCCAAGAATGACCTATTTCCTGGAAGCGACCAATCTACCTTAGCATTTCTTCTTTATGTAAAACCTGGTTATTGGGACAACCTAGGTCTTGAGGGAATTTCCCTTTAGTGTTTGTGGCTCTAAACCTTACTGTGAATCAAGGAGGCTTTTGAGAATATAACAAAAACTGTAATCCCTCTCTTGTGAAAAATGTAGATACACACAAAATTTTGCATCTATCTTAAGGAWTCATAAGTACTCCTCAAGTGGTCACACTTAAGAACCCTTATTCTGGATAAGTTTAAAAAAAATAAAATCATTGATAGACTCTTCTTCAATTCAATCAAGAAAAATAAAATTGTTAAAGACATCTAGAAGGGCAGATCTGGGAAAATTGTAGAGAACTTTTTTTCAGACACCACATAATACGGTACTTAATAATAATAAGATCCAGTGTCRTGTTAGTGGTCTCTATGGGCATCTCTATTCTTCATAATAACTTTTATTTTTATTTAATGTTTGGCAATATTGTAAAAAGTGACTACTGTTTCAAAATGTGACCTCAGTGAGGCTTAAAAGCTACTGAATCAGATTGAATCAGATGAGATATGAAAGCGTTCAATATAATGTATGACTTAAAGCTATGTTTTTAAAACTTTAATAGGAAATGTCTGACTCTTAGATCACTGTTTCTGAAGGCTGGCAGACAGAAACATGTCTTTGAAACAGATCTAATTTATATACCAAACAGGGATCCAGCAGGTAGAAATAGTGCCTTTCTTCTTTACCTCACACAAATCTGAACCTTTGCTTTGTGCAAACTTCCCCTCCAGCAGTATTCTAACTTTATTACTCATCTTTTTTTTTTTCCCAAAAAGCTTTTCCAGGTATTAAGCTAGATGGTGGGACACTGTAATAAACAAACCAAGGTCTTTGTCCTGGGGAGACTTGTGGTCTCATGGGTGTACACACCCACATGGGCACAGGTGGGAGCATTCCTTCCTTCTCCACCCAGACAGGACCCCATCTTTGTTCAGGTACTCCCCTCCTCTGCCTAAGCAATGTGGAGCTGATCCTTACTAGAATGAGCCAGTCACGGTAGTCTCCCATGTCCTCTTGCCTATGGTTGGTTCAGGTACCTTGGCTTCAGCCAATCATCACTTGATTGGTGATGGTAACTGGTCCAGAGATGGGCATGGGACCTCAAATGGCCTCATCATACCAAAGGGAAAGACAACTGGAAGGAAAGTTTTTTCTTCCCCCTCTTTGAGCGTTGCCCCAATTGCTATTAGCAACTGTCTTGTGACCATCGAGGAGGTTAGCCTCGATGGTCACAAGACAGTTAAGACATCAGAAGGGCAGATCTAGGAAAATCATAGAGAACCAAGGTTGAAACCCTGATTGTACCACATCTGAAACCCAGTGTACCTGCAAATGCCATATGTGAAATAGATCTACTATTCTGATCCTTATTGGAGTAGAGGTTTTTGTCCTATGCAGTCCCCAAACTTCTTGATTGTCCTCCCCATCCTTACAGAGTGACAGCACCCCTGGTATGCTCAGGAACCTTCCCAGAGCACTGGAAACAGTCATTCCTGTGGGGACTTTCTGGAAGAGGAGATACTTGGGCTGAGGTTTGAAGGTTGAGTAGGAGTTAGCTGGGCAGATGTAGAAGGGCAGGGTGTTCTAAAGAGAAAAGCAAGTAAATGGAGTCACGCTTCTGCCTTCAGGGTGTTGGGGAGATGACAGAGGGGAACTGGCCAAGACCCGATCATGAAGGGGCCCGCACTTTACGTCAATATGGATTTCCTACCAAGGTAACTAGGTGTCCCTGAAGATTATTAAGCTCTGAAGTGGTGTGATTGGTTCTACATTTTAGGTACATTGCTGAGGGCCAGTATGGAAGTGTGGAAAATTCTGGAGACAGAGAGAGCAGTTCAAAGTCTCAGCTGTCTTCTCCCAACAAGAAACAGCTTGGGTTCTTCCTGGGTGGTACAGGGAAAGTGCCTGTGAAGACCTGTGCAGAGCTGTCACTGTTGGTCAAACTCTGTAAGATCAGGTCAGGGAATACTGGCTGGGTGCTCATGATCCAGAACAGGCAGTCAAAACTGAGCCCCTTACTTGCTGTGTGATCTTAGACTAGCTGTTTAACTTCTCTGAGGTTCCATCTCCTTGTCTATAAAGTGAGGATCTTAATAACTACCTTGCGCTGTTTGAGTGAATAAAATAACACTTTAAAAAAATATATATTTGCTACTAATGTGCTTACATTAGAATATTGAGACCTTTATAGGAAACATTCATAGTCTTGTTCTTTATAGTTTTTTTTAATATTTGCTTTTTAGTTGTAGTTGAACATAATATCTTTATTTTTATGTGGTGCTGAGGATCAAACCCAGGGCCTCACACATGCTAGGCAAGCGTTCTACCACTGAGCCACAACCCCAGTCCCTAAAATAACACTTTTAAGGAGAAAATTAAGCACAGAAAATGGTAGAGACTATATTAATGATTCACAGGATGACGGAGTGACTGACAAGAAGAATAGTTTTTTTCTATTTATACTAAATAGGTGGTTATCAATTTGAAAACAGCAGACCCAGTACTTGGAAAATGTAACTACCAGATGTACAAGTTAGCACCCATAACTTCTGACCTAAATTTCTTTTTCCCCCCTTTCTTTTCTTTCCTCCCTCCC